AAAATCTCAAGATATGCTCAAACATGATAATGAATATCGCCTCCGTTCGTGGGTGGGTTTGGACCCGCCTCGAAATACTACTTAAAGACCAACAATTTAAGACAAAAATGTAGTAGATAATTCGTGTCTCGCCAGTCCTGATTTTACTTAAAACAGAGCATAAAAGTCGTCTGAGATCAATAGAGGTATACCCTGTCAGAATGAATGGAGCTCTATGCCCAAGCTCGCTTGTCTTTGTCCCTTTGTTCACGACTAGATTATTCTTCTCGAGCATACAGACCAGCTCGGCGTAATTAATCCTCTTTAAGAACGTCTTCTAATTTCTTTAAATAACGGTATACTATGCTTTCAGTAGACTTGAATTTGAAAGACCTTTTGTATTCCCTCACGCAAGTTGTAAGGCCTTTGCATAATGTTATGTCAAGTAAATTCCTGGCTATCATTGTTTTGTATAATGAAAAGTAATTTACAGACTGGATGGGACCGAAGAGAGTGAGTCAGAAAGAGAAAGCAATCTTAACACTTGATTAAAAGGTTTGGAGAAAAAAAATAACTAAAAAGAATGTTTTATTCTATAAACAGAGAGGTGAGAGCGGAGTGAGAGAGAAAGCGAGAGGAATAGAGATGAGAGGGAGAGGGGGAGAGGGGACGGGAGTGGTTTGCAAAGAGGAAGGTGGAGGGGGGAGTAAATTGAGTGAGGAGGGAGAGCGAATTAGCACTATCGTATCCAGGCCCGGGGTGGGGCACTTGGGGACTAGAACAACCCTCACGCGAGTACCCCTGCCCCAAAAGACCCAGGATTTCAAATAAATGAATAAATTGTAAGTAGCACATTGTCCTTCCAGACATAATAAGCTGTGTCGTTGAAGAAAATGATGGCGGCACATTAATAGCCTACATAGTGTGAGTCAAAAAAGTTTACACCTAGATAATAATATTGCTAAGTATTTAAAAAAAAAAATCATTTATGAACAGTAAACTATTATACATCTTATGAAAGAGTGTTTTATCCCAAATCATTTGGTATCATTTATGTGTAATATGTGTTCAAGCTTGGATGAACGGGATACATTGTTTATGATCAACTTGCCCCAAAGTAATACATGAATTGTGATGTTTGAATAAAAGGGTATTAATTCATTTTATTTAATTGATTTTCCACATTTAAAAACCAGAAAAATGTACAAGGTAACAGAATGCATTGTACACATTTGACACATAGAGCAAATGAAAAACAGATACATAAGCATAAAAGAACAATGAAAATCTACATCCGTTAACAAACATCAACATTAAAACATAAAAAGGTAAGTAATGTAAATGCCGTAAATGGGGCTAGAAAAAGCGATGCTTATCGAGTCTAACCCCGGTAGCAATGAAGGGGAAGTCCACCATGAGAATGTGTGTGGCCAAGTAAAGGCGGAGTAAACCCATCCTCAGGGTGGACCCTCCCTTCAAAATCTGGTTTTATATTTAGATTAAATTGACCCGATGATAACATTTGAAAAATAATAATTATTATTTTTAAATTGATATGACTATTTAGAATTGCAAAGATATTGTTTATATTTAAACTTAAATTGTCGTAATGGTGCAGATTGTTTGAGACTGTCATCTAAAGTAGACCATTCGGTCTTTGCAGATCCAAATAACATCCATAACAAAATTAATCATGCTGCACATCAAATATCAAAGAACATTATTATTTTGTGCGTGTGGGTGTGTGCATGTGTGTGACTTTGTTTCTGTAAAAAGCAAATGCAATGCATCTCATTTGATACATTCAATTCATTCTCTCATTTTGATACTTTGACGCAAGTCGATTTTTGCACTCTCGCAAACAATGCCTCCTGTTTATCCAAGCGTGAACACATACCACACAAAATGATTCCAAACGATTCGGGATATAACACTCTTTCAAAACATGAATGATGACTTTTCGTTCATAGCTGACTTTTAAAATGAATGACACTTTCCTGAGTGTAATTTTGTTTGACTCACGCGGTATATATACCTAATAGTCACTTATGGCGAGAAGCCCCCCCCCCCCCCCGAGTAGCGATATTTAAATGTTATTTCCTGTGGACTTAGACAGGAGTACTACATATGGAAACAATAAATAGATATCTGTTGGTAAAATGGTTGGATTTGATAAAATCCAGACATTTTATGAAATAATTTCCCTGCTATAGAGTAAAATATAGAAAATTCAGTCTGAGGGGCTGGTGTGATCACCACCAGGGGCGTTGCCAAAAGGGGGGGGGGTGTGGGGGTGCGACACCCCCCACCTGTGAGGATATTGTCGGTAAAATTGCGCTGCCGTCGAGAAAAAGAGAAAAGGGGGAGGGAAAAAAAGAGAGGGAAAGGGAAAGAAAAAAAAAAAAGGAAAAGAAAAGAAAGAAAGGAAAAGAAAGGAAAGAAAGGAAAAGAAAGGAAAGAAAAGAGAAGAAAGAAAGAGAAGAAAGAAAAAGAGGGAGGAGAGGAAAGAAAGGAAAAGAAAGAAAAGAAAGAAAAGGAAAAAAAGAAAAAAAAACAGTGAAAGGGAAACAAAAGAAACGGGGGATGAAAAAGAGGAGAGAGAGAGGGGAGGTAAGAGTCTGAGAGAGGTGGAGTGGGAGTAAAAGAGAGAAGGGGCTTGTTTGGTGGAGTCGTCTCTTCGAAGGAGCAAGAAAGACACGGGTAAATAATTATGTTGCTATGTCGGGTCAGCTGTGTCGGTATTCTTGCTCGATCCTCATATCAATGCAGAAGTTTGAAGTCGGAGAGATGTATTATTGTCAGTCGGCCGACAAGTTTTTTTCCCTACGAACTGTGACTTCTTATCCGCTGTGACGACTTCGAGAGTGACTACAACTACAATACTTGTATTTTCTCGAAGTTTCACTTTCCTATAATACCAGCTAAAGAAATCGGAGGTTTAAAATTTTCTGGGAAACTAAATTCAAACAAGGTTTAAGAGTCAACAACGGTACGAGGAATCGTCTTCCTTTCTTTATTGTGATGAAACGCCAAAAATTCCGGAAGGGGAAACTTCATTTAGACGAGTCGAGAACGGTACAACGAATCGTCTTCTTTCTCTAATAATTTAAGGAAACGTCAAAGCTTCCGCGCTTCGCGCGAAAGTGGGAAACTGAATTTAGACAAATAGGGCTTACTAAAAGTCTAAAACGGTACAACGAATCGTGTTCTTTCGAATCGAATCGTCTGTTTTCTCTAATAATTTAATGAAACGTCAAAGCTTTCGCGCTTCGCGCGGGAGGGGCGGGGGGAAACTTTATTCAGCCAAGGATTACCAGTCGAAAACGGTACACCGAATCGTCTGGTTTTTCTCATAATTTAATGAAACGTCACAGCTTCCGCGCTTTGCGCGGGAGGGGGAATACTAAATTCAGAAAAGGATAAACAGTCGAGAACGGTACAGCAAATCGTCTTCTTTTTTATAATAATTTAATGAAACGTCAAAGCTTTCGCGCTTCGCGCGGGAGGGGCGGGGGGAAACTTCATTCAGCCAAGGATTACCAGTCGAATACGGTACAATAATCGTCTTCTTTTCCTAATAATTTAAAGAAACGTGTAAGCTTCCGCGCTACGCGCGGGAGGCCCATCACCCACACCCCCCTAATGAGCGCGCTTTTAAGTGATTCTCTTGCTCACTACCGCTCCTCCCTAAAATAAGATCCTAGCTCCGCGCCTGCATTAAAATATATAGTTATGATGCTGACTGAATTGAATAAGTAATTCGTATATTTACAGTATGTCGTCGAGGAAAATGACCATTTTGCGCATATGCAAGTACTATAGATAGTCCTTAGGAAAAACAATTTAGCCTTCGGCCCCATGCAGGTTTATAGGGTTGAATTTGTAGATATTGGAAATTTAATTTTGTCGGTAATTGGTGGCTACTTTTGTCGGTAATCGTTGGCCTCTACACCCCCCCCCCCCCCCCCCCACTGAAAAAGGTCTAGCGACGCCCCTGATTACCACAACATTGTTTAGCACACAGGCCCGTACAAACTAGGGGTTCGGGGGCTTCGCACGGGGGGGGGGGGTCCCCTTTCCTTCACCCACCCCCTAGTTAATTAATTGGAGGGACGTATTCTGTTCAATAAACCCGCAATAGCACTGCACATCGATAGGTATGAGAAATATAGGCTAACAAACTCTTTCTGGAGGGATTCGAGGATTCCGCCATATTACAAGCATCATTTTTAGGTTAAACTTGTATTAAGTGGAAGTATAATTATGCGAGAAGGGACGTTTTTGAGTCTTTAATATGCTGAAAACCAAAATATTTTTACGTAAGATCATAATAGAATAAGAATTTCAAAAGAAAATGTTAATGGTTCTGCTTTGACTGATTATGTTATTGTAAGAGTTGTAGGCCTACTGATCGAGATTCAAGGAACAAAGCGTATTTATTATCTTAAGATTAAAATATACAACATTAAAAAAGTGATGCATTTGAGGGAAGAAGAAGAAGAAGGAGAAGAAGAAGAAGGAGAAGAAGGAGAAGGAGAAGAAGCAGAAGAAGAAAACGAAGGAGAAGAAGAAGAAAGAGAAGAAGAAGAAGAAGAGGAGGTGAGGAGGAGGGGTGGAGGAGGAGGAGGAGAAGGAGGAGGAGGAGGAGGAGGAGGAGGAGGATGAGGAGGAGGAGGAGGAGGAGGAGGAGGAGGAGGGGGAGGATCGAGGAGGAGGAGGAGGAGGGGGAGGGGAGGGGGGGGGGTGAAGAAGGAGGAGGATTCTCTTTTTTCTGCTTATATCAAAAGCAGCCCATAATAGGATAATAGTGGGGACCCCACTGGTTTTGATCTCATTATTGTATATTGTTGTATGTTGGAAGCTTGTCGAATAAAAATCAATCAATCAATCAATCAATATCAGGGCGGACTTCCCCTCCATTGTGTGTGTATTGGTTTTTACAGACGTGTATCAATCAGATATACTCCATTACCAAATGAAAGGGTATTTAATGTATGCAAATTAACGTAGAGGGCTTTACACCTAAACACATTCGCGCAGTTACGTGTGATTATTTGTGTTTGCTAATTTTGCCCGTGTTTTGGAGGAATTTTCACCATATTTCGCCAAATTGTGACTCTTAGATTTGAGGCCTACATCGACTCTAAATCAAAGTCTGTCGTCTTTATAATGCCATGAAAACATGACATCTAGACCGCCACGACGATCCACTCCTTCGATTGTTAGTCAACACTCACAGGTAAGGAAGCGTGTGGGACTGAAGTGACTGGGCGAATAGATTGTGCATTGTGTTTGCTTATTAAATATCAGGAACAAAAATAATTATATTCATGGTGCGAGGAATTATAATATGTCTAACTGCGGCATAACTGCTAACGTTAGATCATGATAGCTCACTTTCATTAAGGATAGTCTTTTGCAAAGTTCTAGAGTCTGATATTTCAGGACAGTAGTTTGGCGAAGTCTCGCCAGCTCAATCGGAGTCACGGCAGTCATCGACTCGAAGTCTTCTTCTTCTTCAAGATAATCTGCCTCCTTCAGGATAATCTGTCTCCTTCAATACTGAAGATTCTTGCAGATGCCGTATACTCGGCCTGATTGGGGTGTGCAGGTGGACCATTACACCAGGGTTTCCCCCTTCTCTTATAGTGCAATGGGTTCTTAACGTGCAAGGGTGGTGACTCTCCTGTACACGGAGAAACTAGAGTCTCAATTCGGAAGTATTCCGATTTCGGCAGTATTGAAGTCTCAAGTTCTGTATGGATTAATTGAATTATACTATTGGTAACAACTAACATTGACACTGTAATGACGGATTGATGAACTTTGCCTTGTCACAAGTTCAACGTGATTAGCATGCCACAGACTCTTGACATAGAATTAAAAATAATTAATTGGGCATTTAAAACCAAGTCAAGAGTATGTAGGTACAATAACAACACAAGAGACTTGTTGCGACTCCAAACCTGTCAGGCTGTCATATCTTTTTTAGAACACCATCTCAAGGCAACTTTAAGTTAATCTATGGGCAGCAAAAAAATTAAAACTGAACATTTATTTTAAAACTTGCTTCTTGATCTTCAAGCTCTCATTTCACTTTATTTGTCACTTTTTTCAAAAAGTTTGAATGAAATTAAGCCTCATTATCTATTTTGGTAATTCAGTATTAAATGTGATGGATCTTGACAAAGACTATATTATTTAGCAAACAGTTTAAATGCCGGTCCCCAGACGTAAATAGTTATATCTGATTGATACACGTCTGTAAAAACCCAAAACACACACATACACACAGTATCAAAATCATGGTTTTGTGAAACTGGATGTCTGCTTCCTGACATCTCCGTTGGTCGCGGACAAAGACATGAATTATGACTGTCATGGACTTGGTTTTCATGAAACACCTCTGATTTGTATTTTGTAAGCATGGACAAATATCCCAACTTTTGGCCTCTGGGTATTGTATTGTTTCATGAAACTAACACCGATATCCTATTGATTATTAAAATTAACACACAATCCATGGGATATGGGCCGACTTGTAAATATGACTATTACATGAAACAATGCCCTGGTTTGCTTCTAGCTAATGCCTTGAGGTCTTAGATCATGAATGTGGCAGTCGGTGCACACTCAAAGAAACACAGAGAATACATGTAAACAAAAAGTATAATCAGTCCAAGATGATAAATGAAGGGTGATTACGTAGGTCTCTTTATACTATTTAGCTGCTTATATTGCCAACACACCTTTCTTATCATTTATTGAATTGTGATGGAAATTTATTTATTTCTTCAATTTTTGAGCCCCCCACAGGCTATTTATTAAAAATCTTCACACAAACAAACAAATCAAATATATGTGCATGTGGAAACAAATTCAAAATTATCTTTCCATACAAACAACAATTGTAGCAACTGCCATTTTACAGCAAAATGTCTTTCCATTCCAGATAGACATACAATATATTTCTCATCTTTATAATATTGTAAAACAATACTATTCATTTTACAAATAAATTTGTTTATGCTTTTGAAACCCAGGGTTCTCTGCAGAGCTGGACCGATGACTTACCTGTCTGCCGTCACTCAGGGATCGGATACTCTAACAATCAGGTCTATAGACAAGATGGAGCCAGAAGCGAAGATCATGAATATGAAGACAAGTTCTTTCATTTCAGGTAGACTATATAGATCTACCAATATATTTCATTTATGTCTCAAAAGATGGTTCTCCATGTTGGGTATATATTATCATATATATATATATTTATTTATTTTTTTTTTTTTGGGGGGGGATAGGTTAATGAATATAAAAAGTGAAATAAGCCCCATTTCATTCTATGTACGTGTACTCTTGCATTATGGGAGAAAACATCATAATATCAGATGGCATTGTAGGATTAAAAGGTTAGCAACAGTTTAATTTGTTTCTATGTTCACCTCTATGCTTTAATTCATCACTCCGATGAAGCAGTTTTATAATTTTGGTCGAACATCATTTGGGTTTTTGACTAGTGTTTAGGAGGAAAAGGTTACTTTAACTATGATCTGTGTCATCGTAAGTTGCAGTGGAATAACCCAATTTCGAATCTCACAATTTCTTGTTTTATTCGACCTCCTATAGGACGGAACAAGATGACTACTTGTATGCCATATTTGATGGATATGATGGTACATACGCCCCAGGGTTTGCCCATCAAGGCTTGCCTGCAGAACTGCTCCTGGGTCAGCTGAGTTCAGTACATGATGATGCTGAAGTGAAACGCATCCTGCTGAGGGCCTTCGTGACGGTGGAGCGGGGTTTATTCGAGTCTCTGGATCACGTCGTCGCTGAGAGAGCTAATCTTAAACTCTCCCTCCCTGATGTTAGTTTTTTTGCAAGTCTGTTCATCTTAAAATGGTGCTAAGGGAAAGCATGTTAACATACACCAATCATTTATTAATGAGTTTGTGGAAGGGGGAGTGACACCATATTATACACACACTTTTGGTATGAAGTTAATTTAAAGCCTGTCTGCACTAGTTTCGCCAGGAGGGATTATACCTCCCTGCAAGGTCACTGACAGGTGGTTATCTCATTAAATCAGCTCTCAATTAACATATGAAAAAGAGGATCATGGGGGGACCAATGGGCACTGCTTAGGTACTGTTTGCTATAAAGAGGGCGCATGTAGCTACAGTTATATCACAATAGAGCGACGTATCAAGATGAAATTAGAAGCGTGATAGTGATATTGGCTGTTACTAAATTGGGTAACGGTAATTGGCATGACTTGTTACTTTCTGAATTTGCCCTGTTGCTCAAATAAATAGCAATAGGCAGTAAACCATGGATAATGTTTCAGACAGATATGCCTTAGTTGTTCTCTAGTAGCATGTGATAAAGGATGAAACATGTAGATTATATTGATAGATGGCATCAGATTTTGCTGTCTTTTAATCTGAAGAAGGAAGAAAGTTGAATGTATCTTTTTTTTTCTGTATGATTTAATAGGATGTGAGTGACTATGAGCTCTTCCAGAAGTACCCAGAACAGATGGAGAAATTCCATTCAATGACGGCAGATATCAGCGGGGGAACGTCAGCCATTGTAGCTCTGATTCATGTTAATAAGCTCTTTGTAGCGAATGTAGGTGAGTATAGTTCTCTTCGATTCAATTTTCATTTATTCGGCATCATAACAAAATCATAAATACAGAATTAAGAATAGGTAAGGACCTCTAAGAATCAACTTGTGCTTGTAAATGAGCCCCTTATCAAGGTAAACACAATATTTCAAAAATAAATTAAATTGCAAAAGAAATAAAAATTACAAGGTATATATACTGTATATATATATATATATATTTAGAAGAAAAAAAAGACCATTAATTACAGCAGGTATCTTTATCTCAGTATCATATAGGCACACACCACAAACGCCCAAAAGCATTAACAAAAAGGGAAGAGGTGACAATAAGTAATGAGGAAGAGAAGAAAAGGAAGAGGTGGGAATGAGAATAACAACAAGTAATATATGCGATTTGCATGTTTACTATTGAAATATTTATATCAGATGAAAAAGATAATTTATATCAAGGCAAAATTTCACAAAGACATGCATTACATTTGGTTACATTACGAAAATGGCATATCCACAAAACTTTCTTGTTTTACAGTATTGTGCCAATTATTTAATAATAATAATAGTTTGTTCTTATATAGCGCTTTTCAGGACCGCAGGCCCTATCAAAGCCCTTTACAGATATATATTATTACCCCGGTCATCGGATTCATTCTTAACCGCACACAATGTATGCACATTCTCCACTCCCTGGGGAGCATTCCAGTCAAGCGTCATTTTTACAAGCACACACTTGCTAATCTAACCACATTAGCTTTCGCATCCTACTGGGTACCCATTTAACACCTGGGTGGAGAGTGGCAAATGTAGATCAATGTCTTGCCAAAGGACATTAGTGCCGCGGCGGGACTTAAACCACGGACCTTGTGATCCACAGTCCGGTGACAAATCCACTCGACCACGACACCTCTATTTGTTATGTTTCCCACCACAGGTGATTCCAGAGCACTTCTCTGCACCCTGGAACCAGACAACACCACTAAGGTAAGACAGCTGAGTGTGGACCACACCACCAACAATCAAGATGAGCTTCTGAGACTGAGTCAGCTAGGTCTAGACACCAATACCGTACAGTCTAACAAGCTGCTTGGAGATAAGATGGCTACCAGGACGATCGGTAACCACACGGTCAAGGGAGGATACAAGGAGAACACACTGCTATGGTAAGTATCGGATGAAACTATTTCTTTTAAAGGCATTGTTTAACAATGTTAAATCTGAGATGCACGGCCCTACGTGTTATCCGTGTCTGTGATATGGTGTAATATTGAAGCCCCCCCAAAAAATTGTGCTTCCAAATGATCAAGAAGTGCCTCAAAAAAGTAAAAATCTTTAAGTGACCAGTTTTACCATACTAATTTTCCCCAATAGACTGTAATGTTATAAAAACCGTTAGGAAAACGAAAAAGGAAATTTTGTTTTCCAATCATAGATATCTTGATAATTAGACAGGCAATCGGCTTGTAAAAGTCATGGGATTCCTGACTGACCTAAAGGATTACTGAGTCACTTTAAACACTCCTTAAACAAAAAGAATAGATGACATGATCCAACACTGGCTCTGAAGAAGATTGCTCCAGACTTTACTTTGTGAAAGATGTAGGGCTAGATTTGCATTTGGGTTTTATATTAAGTTGAACCATGTAGGGTTAAGGCTAGGCTGTAGTGTTACGACTTAGGTTGAAGTTGGAATTTGGTTAGTGTAAGATAGACTGGCTGGCACACCTGAAGGGTTACCCAAAGAAGGGTTATATTGGAGGGAGCGGTTGGGAGATGGTCATTTAAAAAAAAAAAAAAGGAGGATGCGGTTGTGCCTCTGCCAGCATGGAGCCCCACAACATTTTAAATTTTTGTCTGCTTTTCCATCAATCCATCTAACAAACTGCTGCAAAAACCTCGCCTTAAATACAAAAATTGTCATTAAAGATTTCAATTGATACTGTGAGAGAAACATGTATCTGGATTTATTCAATATCTATGCCAACTTTATTGTTGATAAACATGTGCTCTTTTATATGCTTTATTCATATCTTGATATTTCCCTCAGATAATGCTTTCCTAAAGCTCAGTCATATTAGGTTTCATAATAACTTATGATATGATCTTACAAGATCACAATATCGTTACTGTTTTCAACAAGAGTTTATATTTTGCATCCTTTTTCATAACCAATCATTTATTTTAGTAGAATTACAAACCCCTGTATTTGACCTTCCTTACAGCAAAGCTTCAAGTGAACCCATCCTAGCTGAACCTGACATAATAGGTGGCTTGGATGTGACCAACATGACTGGATTCCTGATGATGTACTCCAATGGTCTCAGTCAGTCACTCATTGAAGCTACGGGCACCTCTCAAGCCAACCTGGACCTAGCTTACATGGCCATGGCTGAGTTTGAGGTCCAGGCGACCTTAAGCGGTGTTGCGCAAGCTGTTGTTGACAAAGTAGTCCGAAGGCATCACGACACTTACCTGTCGGAAGGGGGCCGCATGGCCATCTGTCAGAAACGAGACGACATCACTCTCATCGTCCGCAACTTCAATTTCCCGTTGGGGAATCGCATGTCCAGCCCTGCACCAGCAGCCCCGTACACTTCTGTATCAGCACCGTTTTCTCCCCAAGTACCGCAGGGTTCGCCGCAACCTCCAAGACTCATGATCACAACACCCAACAGAACCCGCACAGACTCTCAAAACTCATTGATGACACCGCTGTACATCCAGGTTGACAACAATGTTGTATCCCCCATCGACCAGCAACGCTCTCCTTTTGGACGGATAATTGGTGATCTGACCCCTCAGCCGGGGATTCCCCCGCCTAATTTCGATGAATTACAGCACACACCCCGCCCTACCTACGCTGAAGAAGAGGATGAGGTTCAGGCGGAGAACACGGAGGAAGATACAGAGAACACTCGGACATCAAGCTGTACAGATTCTACTAATCCTAGTACAGAGGAATCTCAGAGGGTCTTTGATTTCAATGGGCGTGAAGCCAAGGCAAAGGTAGATGAGAATGGCATGATTGATCCGTATGTTGATTTCACAGACTTCTTTCAAGCATATAAAAATATGTGCCCTGATCCCTCCATGTCTTCCTCCTGAGTGAATTCTAGGATATAGAACTATATTGCACTGGATAATATCCGTTTATCACCGACAGGAATTGGGTGGTTCCTATACAGAATACAAATATACAAAATATATTAATGGCTTGGATATATGCACTAAAGAGATTTATGGATATATGTACATGTACATCCCATGGAGTGGGGATCTTGATTCTTGTGCACTGTCTGGAAATATCATCACTGCATTCAATGCAATACCACCTCGAAACCTGTTGTCTGAGGCATTTCTAGGCATGTCAGACGTAATGGCAGCTAATATATTCATGGAAGGTTATTTTTTAAATATATTACAGATCAAATGTAAATCTGATATTGGAAGGTATCCTTCTGGGTCCATCAATTTTTGTAAAAAAAAAAAATCATGGATTCAATTTTACAAATTTTTACCCTGTTGCTTGTTGCTTGCAAAATGTTGGTTACAACAAATATAGATACATGTAAAATATGTCTGCAAATATAAACAACTCACATGTACTATGGAGTAGACTTACATTAGTAATGTAGGCTTTCCTGTTTGGAGCCAGTTGGGCGTTAACTCATGTCATTTTACAGTTAATTCCCTTCTCGCTCCAGACAAATGATATGTATTCTGCTTAATTTGATTATGCAAATTGATTGTGATAATTTGTAAATATAGATCTGCATTTGGTGTTAATGAGAATACTTTAATAACATTGGTGCGTTTATAGCTGCTATGTCCTGCGTAAATGCAATAAGTTTAATAAGAATTTAATCTACATGCATGCATTCGGTCATTGTCTACAATCATGACTATTTTTTGTCAACTGTTGACTTAGACCAGCTTATTCTACCTGATGCACTCAATGTTGGTAATGTTTTTTCGTCCATCTAATAATTCACAATCCATACTGCACCAGTTCTCTGCTTCTCTAGACTTTGACAACAATTTCTCATATCAAGTACATTGTACATATTGATAAAATAAAACTTGAACTTGAACTTGAACTTATTAAAGTCAACTTTATAGAGGTCCAGGTTGTTGAAGTCGGACAATTCATGTACTACAAAAACTATGAGTGTTTGGAATGTTCTTGTGCCTTGATCAAATTATTTATCTGCATGTGGTAATTATTAATCATACAATATCTTGGATTCATTTTATGATTTTATCACTTCATATACAGCCAGATAATAATTCTTTTCATCTCGATTTGAAACTATTTAGTGAAGTATATTCCTCCTAGCATTATAACATATATATCACTTGGGGTAAAGTGTTTACTTTTACGGTGATGAGGCATCTAAAATTTTATACAAATCATTGACTTTGAAATTGTACTTGGGTTATCAAGAGTTTCATAGCTTAAGGGGGGGGGGGTCCAAGTTGTAGCAGCATGAGCGCTAAATTGGCAATTTTAAGTCCTCTTTGCTATTTGGGAAAATCCTGTCTGAAATGTAGCCTATATTCAATTAAATTTTTCAATTTTCAGTGTCGATTTCAGTTCATTTATTGTCCAACATGTATAGCAGTTATAATTATATATATTATATATTTATACATAAATTGGCAAAATAATGGGTTAAAAGGATACCTAAATAAAAAAAAAGCAACAGGCTTGTAGAATACACCTGTACATATCATATGAAAATCATAACAAAGGGGATACAAATGAACTATAAACATTCTCATACCCCAATCCTATTTTCATTTATGAATCGTACATGAGCGAGAGGTGGATGCTCACTGATACAACATGTATTAGCAATGCATTCTGACTATCTGGCTTAATTATTGTACATTTGCATGCACCTAGTCACAGATGTCTTTAATATTCTGAAATTATACTCATTTTGTCCAGGTTTTCAATTTTCATTCACATTTGGAGTACTACTACCATTAGTCAATACTTATCTCAAGGTGCCAATCACACACACATGCGGGTAATACAATAGTACGCTTTTGAGTTGGAGTATATCTATTGGATGTATCATATGGTTCTCATTCTTTGATCACAGCAGTTTCACCATGAAAGTACTTTGTATATCTTACATATCTATTGTCTAATTCTTTCTGATATATGCATGTGTTTTGAAGGCTAAGTTAAGTACTTGCAAGCGTCACTTTAGTGAAAATGAATATATATAATATGGCCCTGCCCATCTCTGGAATGAAACTTGTAGATAACACCCACAAAGCAAAAGGCATTGTAGATGGTGATCATTACAAGTTTTTGTATGTCATTACATAAGTACACTGTGGATAGCTGGAAAATTAAGTTTGAAAACAGACAACAATGTGTCTGTCAGAATGATTTATAAGAATAATCTCTGATCAAAGGGTCTGCACAATTTGCAAGGGGAGGGGGAAGGAGCCCATGTTTTTTAATTTCATGTTTACTTGTTTACTTTTAATTGTGATAAGCAGTTAGGAGTCAATCTCAAGCCTGCATGTTATTCCAGTTGAATGCCTAAAATCTGTCTGTATGCAATATGTAAATTCAAATAGATTAACATAATAAGGATATGTATGTAATCATATATACTGCAAACACTGTACTTCCGGCAGCTTTGCTACTCTGTCGATCCTCAAAACACACAGAATTATGCTCTGATTGCACTCAGAGGACTATTCCGCTTGTTTCGAGGATTGAAAGAGGATAGAAAGAGCTGCAAAGCCGCCATGATTGAAGACTCGTACTACATATGCACATGGTTCTTATGAACATATTTGAAACTTGTAGCAATGAATGAAATATTAATACATGTATATTATAGGTGATAATTGAAACAAATCATGGATTTGTTATGTCATGAATCGTGATTCATATTTTTGAGATGATTTTGAAGCCCTTTGTATTCATGTGGTGTTTTTATATGTCCCCTTTCTTGTAATTCACATTAAGTTTGTATACTTTTGCCTTAGCTCACAGGCATATTTTGAAACGATTTATTGTAGATGGTGTCTGTACCAAGAGCTACGTGTCGATCAAAATGGATATTATTTTATGATGATGATTAAGAGCTTGTTAAAATATTATGTAATTTTTAAAGCATTTTATTTTTAAAATTAATATCTTAGTGGTCTTGCCAAATTAAATTTAGATTACATTTTAGCAATAGGCAGACCAAGAGAGAGAAAGGGGGTGGGGATGAGATAAGAAGTAGGAGAGAGAGAGATAGGGGGAGAGGGAGAGAGAGAGAGAGAGAGTGAAAGAGAGAGAGGAAGAGGGAGAGAATTTAAATGAGACATTTCATAGTCTTGGTTGTTAAAAGGTATGAAACAATGATTTTTTTCATGTTTCTGTGGGTACCCATAATCATGTGTGAAACGATGCTACTATTTTGAATGTATACAATTCATGCTTGGCAGATCAATGTTCATGTATAAAACCTTGAAAACAACTGAATTATAGAGCTATATGAAGTATTGTTTTATGTATTTATGTGTGTGTAAGAGAGAGGAAGAGGGGAGACATGAAAAGGAGGGAGTGATGAGAGAGGAAGAGGAGGGCGTGATGAGAGAGAGAGAGAGAGAGAGAGAGATAGAGAGAGAGAGAAAGATGAAGAGGAGGGAGGGAGAGAGATAAGAGAAGGAGGGAGGGAGGAGAAATAGGGAGGGAGTGAGAGAGAGATGTGGAGTGGGTGAGAGATAAAGATATAAGAGCTAAGAGAGAAGAGAAACTGAAAAAAAAAAACTAATAAGAAGAGGGTTCAGATTACAGCTTGTTCACTTGCTAGTGTATAAAGTGTTTTTGAGCTTACAATTCAAGATTTAAGATTACACATAAAGCAACATCCCTGTGATTCAAATACAATGTACAGACATTACAGGGGAGTGTTTCACAAAGACTTTAAGTGGGACTTGAATATGGCAGGCTGTTCAGGCCACTGTTTGCTCTCACCATTAACTGGCATTGGTCGCTCAAAGGACGTACAAATCATGGTCACAAATCTACAGAATGTACATTTTTGGATAATTCATTATTGAAGGAAAATATAATATCCAAAGATCATAATAGTGAAGTGAACTGTTGCACTACCGGCCTGCCGTAGTTAAGTCCAACTTAAAGTCAATCTTAGTCTTTGTGAAAAGCTCCCCTGGGGGGTGTTTCATAAAGCTGTTCGTGAAGTTACCCATGACTTTACAAACGACTTGTATATGAAAAGCCAAATGGGATGCTCAATCATTATTAACTGCATCAAATAAAGTTGAACTGTGCAGATTTAGATTAACATTCTTATTATAACAAACATTTTTAATGTAAAGTATATTTTTTGCCATAATTTAATTGAGGTTTTTGGAAATATCAGAAAAAAACTTTGGGCATCCTATCTGGCACTTCATATACAAATCGTTCGTAAAGTCATGCGTAACCTTACCAACAGCTTTATGAAACACCACCCTTGTATCATAAACTAATTTACTTGGTGATTAATTAAACTGAAGATCTAGGACCTATATTCCTGGAGTAAACTGGATTGCATACATCTGCATGCGGCTAAATATAAAACTACCAGGTTCTAGATACATATAGACTCAATTGTGAGTATAATAAAGCCATGTGGTATGTAGACCTTGGAGTACGCTTTCACTCTACACCCTAATTACTCCAGACCAGTAAAAAGGAAAAATCACATCTAAAAAAAATGTCATGTAATAAAAAATGCTTTATTTCATAGCATCACAAATACCAGTAACAATATTGCATCAATAAACACGCACAATAATCAACAGGACACAATATGTAATTTTTTAAGGAGTGTATCTAGTCTCTCGTTATGTACAACTTTACAATTGGTGATACACGTGTATAAATACTGGAGGGTGAGTTTTCATCTAAAAAAAACACACATGTAAGCACTGTTCAAGTTTCACAATGAAGGAGTTGAATGCATTTAGCGATTATACAGTTGCTGTTACCTCTGGTTTTGGTAATAGACTTGGTGACAATATTTCCACCTTGCAGCTAATTGAAAAAAAAAAAAAAATCTGCAGCAATCTTAAGACTTAAGACCAAATTTCACTCTGGACCTTCATGGAAAGAATTCTAGCCCTGCTGTATCAGATTGGCTTCTTCTTATTTTGTTATAGAAAGACTTGTTAATTGACCATGACATGATACAACTCACTGCCTTCAACTCCAATCAAGTTAAAATGTGGGAAATATCAGCAATTTTAAATTTAAAAAAAGGAATGATTAGGGCGATGTATTAAAAGCTTTCAAGATGAACTACACAAAACTGTGTTTTCAATTTAATTTTGTCATACAGATATTAACCAACTACAAAATAATATGTTTTTTTTCAACAAGGTTTTTTTTCCTGATCAGTGGGCCTACAGCGTATTGGTTGATTATCCTTTTCATGATTTTCAGTCAAGTACATTGGGTGATGGAACCCTGCTCCAGATTTAATAAGATCTAATGCACATAGAAATTAAAATGTTAATATGAAAAAGGGATATTACCAAGCAAGTTTACACTTTACAGTCAGATAAAGATAATCATAATTCATTTAAACTCACATGAGTAATATTCTAAAAGAAGCTGCTCTTTCAAGAGTACATGAATGTGGTTTGATAAAAGAACAGGATTCTACCCAAAGAATGGATGTAAAACGTATGTAAAATAATAAGCCCACTGATAAGTAACCGTGCACCATCAAAAATGAATGCCATATAAGATTGAAATATCTGCAAGCTGAATTTAATGTTTGTTCCCTATGTGTATATGGTGGAAGGAGGTTTCGTAGTAAAGTAATTTCGATCCCTAACACAGCACTAATGTCCTTTGACTCCTTTGGCAAGGCATTAAGCTACATTTGCCATTCCATACCCATGAGAAAAATGGGGACCTGGTAGGATGAAGAAAGCCTTTGTGTTTAGTAAATGCCATATGCCCTTACAGTGGTCATACGGTAGGAATACTCCCCAGGGAGTGGAGAATTGGAGATGGTGCACACTTTGCGTGAATGAATTCAATGACCAGGGTAATAGTATTTCTAAAGCACTTAGAGATAGTATTTTTTAATTGTATTAAGCGCTATATAAATCCAGATTATTATTATTATTATCATCATTATCAAGTAGATACAAGTTAAAAGCTATTGTAGATGTAACAACAGTGTTATCATCCGTCATGTCCATGAAATCAAGTTACCACACTTGAAATCAAATTACAAAGCATAACATGATACATTCTTGGAGTTGTCCTGTGTTTAGAGAAGTCACATCACCAAGATATAAAACACATGGGTTCAGAACAGTACGATACCGTACAGGACAAAATGTTACAATTTCATAATTCTTCCTACTTGGTCTTGTTTCAGTTGAGCGATTTGCAATGCCTTTGACATTCAGAAGGCCTGAAAACCTTAACTTAAAGCAACTCTTGAATATTTGGGAAAAATCATGAAATTATCCCTTTTAATCATACAGCATATCGGTAATGTTATTGTTCTAAATCCAAATGGCAGTTTTGATTACTAATACTTGAGCTTCCTCTCTATATAACATCTAGTTTGTTAGAATGTCACATAGTTTTACAAAATGCTGACCAGTATGGATGGCTCGTGATTATATTGAGCGATGGCATTCAACTCAAGACAGAGTTAATCTACAAATTTATACAGTTTGTAGCACCCATGTTTAGAGAGCACGAAATATAAGCAATATTGATCTTCAGACAATTATTTGCTCATGAACAGGAATGACAGTATAAAGTTAACATGCCAATTTCAGGCTTTTACTGTTTGTGCTAAAAATGATCAAAATTCAATAATTTCATTTTGTGGATTGAAAATTACATAGATAGGGTCATCTGTTTGTATACACACTGTACAAGAAAAAAAAAAGTTGATAAGTTAGAATATTCCGGGGAAATTGGCGATTCAATTTGGCATACATCATAATCTCTTCAATGTCCTCTTTTTGTCCTTTTTCTTCTTCTCCGCGAGAGCGACCTTTTTATCTCCCGCGTGTTTCTTGGCAGCTGGACCGTGCTGTGAGTTACTGCCCGACGTGGAGGGATTTGAATCCTCGTTCTCCCGCGATTCTTTGGAGGAACGATGAGGCTGAGCATGGATCTCGGTCATCATCTTGGCTCGTGAGAAGTATGTGTCGTACTGTTCTAGAAGCAGCTTGCCCGCCTCTTCGTTTAGCGCCGACTCGGGATTGGGGTAGATGAGAAGACATTTGATGGTCTGCAGTGAGGAAAATACAAATGTAGGATACAGTGTGAGATCTTGAGGTCTTCTCTAAAGCATAATGAACCTTGTAGGTTTTCTCAGATTTGAAGCAAGACCACATTATGTAAAATAAATGGCAGAATACTTTTCTATATGACATTCAAGTGATGGACTTATGAATGAATAGTCTAGTTACATGCATATACCTTTGAAGAATCATCATATCAATATCATCACCATTATCACCATCATCCCTCCCACTCTCTGAGTATCTTTCCTCCTCCTCATTATCCACCAGTTTCTAACTTACCAGTAGTAAATGCTTGATACCCATGTCAGCTTTCGAATCTCTTTTGAGTGTGTTGACACAGATCTCATCAGCATCACTACCATCATCATCACCATCGAACTCCTTCCCCGCCCTTCACCCTTTCCCCCCTCCTCCTCCTCAAGCATCGCAGTTTCTAACTTACCAGTAGTAAATGTTTGATACCCATGTCAGCCTTCCAATCTCTTTTGAGTGTGTTGACACAGATCTCTCCATTGCTCGCTACGTTAGGATGGAACACCTTTGTGAGGAAGTACCCTTTGGGAGGAGCTTTGGGGAAGTCTTTGCCTAACACCAGCTTGATTCGAAATTGACCAGCTGCATAGGGTGTTCCAGCTGTGGAGTTACAAAATATCAGTGATGCTGTCTTTACATAAATCCATTCCATTTAGAATTATTGAATTAGATTTACTGCCAGAATACCGGTATATTGATAAATCTGTTTCAAACAGAAGTTCACATTATATAATTTGTAACCAATGGAAAGTTTGGTAATATATACCCTCCATCCACAGAAATGAAAGAATTGTTTTACATACCAATAAAAAGATATATATTTCATCAGATGACATCACAAGAGTGGTACTGAGATTTCAGACACAAAATAAATATGCCATCTAAGTTTTGGAGCATCAGAGGAAAGAAAAAGAAGATGAGGCAGAGAAAAGAAAGAAGAAGAAGAAGAAGAAGAAGAAGAAGAAGAAGAAGAAGAAGAAGAAGAAGAAGAAGAAGAAGAAGAAGAAGAAGAAGAAGAAGAAGAAGAAGAAGAAGAAGAAGAAGAAGAAGAAGAAGAAGAAGAAGAAGAAGAAGAAGAAGAAGAAGAAGAAGAAGAAGAAGAAGAAGAAGAAGAAGAAGAAGAAGAAGAAGAAGAAGAAGAAGAAGAAGAAGAAGAAGAAGAAGAAGAAGAAGAAGAAGAAGAAGAAGAAGAAGAAGAAGAAGAAGAAGAAGAAGAAGAAGAAGAAGAAGAAGAAGAAGAAGAAGAAGAAGAAGAAGAAGAAGAAGAAGAAGAAGAAGAAGAAGGAAAAGGAGGAGGAAAAGGAGGAGGAAAAGGAGGAAGAGTAGGAGCAGTTATGATTGTTAGCAAAAGAGGGATAGCGCTAGAGAGAAAGAGAGAGAGAATTTTTAAAATAGAGTACCTGGTCCTTCTATGACAGCATGGATGTCTGTAATATCTTCCTCACTAGGATGCACCTTGATACCTTCTGGAGGAGAAGACTTCAGCTCTGCAATCTCTTTGGATATTCGACGGATTACATGGGGTGAGAAATTTTCCATATTGGATAAGCTCTGGAAGAAAAAGAAAGAAAGAATAAAACACATGAATACATTAGTATAGGCCTGGAGGAGTACAGTTTGCTGTGCCTTTTTCTGTTATGTACTCTCTAGCAGTGCTTATTATCTCCTTCCTATTTCACTCCTCTCCTGTCTAAAGCTTCACACTATTTCCTGTCCTGTCTAATATGTGAGAGCGCTTCAGATGCTTTTTTCACAGAATATTGATATTCTTCCTCATGACCTAGGAAACAGACTAAAATAAAAAGTGCTTTCAAGTTATTTTTCACCTTAACCAAAATTTGAGCTTCTCTTTAAGTCTAAAGCCTATTTGGTTGTTGCCAATAAATTGGTTGTTGGTGAGATATAGTCTATCTGTTTCATTTGAATTAATGCACATTTGACTGATTTGTTAGCCCAACAAACACAGTGATTTAATTTGATTATTACTATAAGAAACAAAATCAATAAGGCCTAAATGTGAGTCATGCAAATTTCCATGATTCTAATTAAGTTTTAAAAGGTAGAATTCTAGTCTAGATGGTGATCATGATAATAAAGTTTATATATTTCTGATATAAAATTAAAAATACTGTGGCTGTGCATTCATTGGCCCAAATTCACAAAGGAGCTAGACTCTAGGCCAGCTTTAACTTAACCCATATATCTAAAAATCCTCATTTATAGGGTCTAGTCTACATGATTTACATAACGGCATGGGTTACCTAAATTGCCTTGCGTGCGTCTACGGTCTAGCTTATATTTGACCTCTGAGCATGCTGAGTCTGACTGTGTCTCGCTTGTTTTGCGCTAGACCATGGGTTATGTAATGAAGATTTAAACCATTGGTTAAATTTAAACCTCGTTTGTGAATTCGGGCCGGGCCAATGGCAATGCGTCTGTGTGAATTTAGATTTGTGATTAAAACCTGTAAATGAAACGTTGATCAAATTAAACAAATTGATGCAGTCTATGAAAAAATTTAAAGAACATTATGGTGAGATCGAAAATCACACCATTCATAAATTGAAATTTCCACAGTCCAACAAAAATTAAAAGAAACAATTTTTCTTAAATTCACAAATCACACTGGATGGCGTACACTCACTGCACACTGTACCAACGGCAATGGCAATGCAACAAACGCCGGTTTATAATATCACTCATGAATTTCAAATCCTCTCAAAATAAAAATCATGTTCGACACTCTCATTTATTCCCCCAAGCGAATAATAACGTAAAACTGAGCACGCACACATAAAAGAATCTTATCTTACCCCAGAAAGTGACATTTTGAAAATTGGCCTTCAGAATCCGTCAAAAATGGGTTTATTTATCGGGGATATTTAGGATCGTTGCGAGTGCGAAAAACAACAGCAGCTGGGTCAGAGCAGGTCATCGCTATTACGAATGGACCAATCCAGGCGCAGCTTTCAATGCAGCTTGATTCGCACTTCCGGGTTGTCGTAGCAGAAGACATTTGAAGCCAACATTTTGTTGCAATATTTAGTGGGTATTTGCGTATTAATATCCTGTTAATGGAGTAAATATGTTATTTATCGCATACTAAACAGTAAATATACCTGTATATATGCTATCTGTGGAATATTATAGGTGGATTCTTTGGTATATATTGTTTCCTGGATATTTACATGAATTTTAGAAAGGAGAATTTGATTGTGCACAAAGTGATGTCATCGACAAAAGTGGGATCGGTGAATAATCCGGGCAACTGACATGGCGGCCGTCTATTGCTCGCACAATCAAGCACAGAAAGGGTGAGTTACGGTCACGAATTCCTCTTATTCTCTTGTAATTCACCGTTCGTTCAATTTTTTGGTTAGGCTTGATGTGTATCTTGCCAAGTGATTCAATGAAAAAAATTATTTATTCTTGTGAAATGAGTTTGTTTCTTCCTTTGTAGACTAATTGTAGATGTGGTCAAGATGTGTAGCCCATGCCCACTCACATCAATCACAAACACAAATTGACAGTGCAATCTGACTGTGGAAGGGGAAAGAATGTTGTTTGTGATATGTTTGTGTATAGGCCTATGCATGTGTTCTTGGGCTACCCTGTTTACCTTTAGTGCTTCAGCGTTTATTCAGCTCATGATATCAGTTTAATATTGTAGACTGTTTAGTGTTGGCCCACATTGCTAGTTATATAAGTCTTTATTTTGTTTACTTTTTTAGGGTGAAATATATTGATAAGTAAATCACAAGAGAAATGTTACACTGTCCGCTCCATGATTGATATTATTTTAAACTAATTTAAGCTATCATTTCACACCCTTCCTTTATTGCCTGCTGTGAAGCAATGGTGTCAAGTGAATCTGACCACACCATTTAGGTGAGATAAATATAAACACAACGGCATTCGACTCATCGTATAATCCATCTATTATTATCCCAGTGAAATACTTTGTTTATCATGTTTTAAAGTTTGTCGTCCGCCAACGGGGGCATTTGGTGTTCGGCAGTGGGTTGAGTTCAGGGGGGGGGGGGGGGGGGGGATGGGGGAGGGGAGGGAAGGTTTAAAAACTACTACTTAAACTGTACATGCTGTAGTGAATTAACCATTCATCATCTAATATGGCATGGGATTTGTTGTTACTCTAATACTGTGATGTGTTTTTGTTCTCAAGATAGTCCTAAACTTGGGGTCTATGATTTTATGGTTGAGAATCCCTCAAAATGGTCCCACTTTTGGATCGAGGCATTAAATATTGCCATTAGATCTACTATAACAAATGATAATACTTTTTTTTCATCAGAATAATGGCTTTAAAGGTAAAGACCAGTATTGGTAACGCCCCAATTTCAAAAAATGAAATGGAAGCTCTCATTACCAATCATGTGAAAGAATATGTTTTGACTAATACATGATGATAAAAAATTTGCCGGGAAACCGCCTACTAATTCATATATTTGGTAAATTTATTTCTCTCATGGTCGTGTGAGAGAGATAGGGTAGTCCCATATACATCTTTCTGTGTATAGTGCTTGTAACTTTACGAAGAATGGGCCAAATTTCTTATCATTTTGATGATTCCAGAACCTTGCAGATGCTAGATGCTAGATGATCAACCTTTTCTGATCGATTCCACAACGTTTCTTTCACAATGCAATTGCATGACCATTACTGGTCTTTACCTTTAATAGAGAGAATATGGGTGAAGCTTGTCTATATCCTCCATTAGCCATTTTCATGAAAGCTCAAATCCCAGACGCAAAATTATTATTTCTCTTTTTTCATCAAGCCCTAATAATGGGTACCTTTTTTTCTTCCAAGTTAACCCTTAAAGATGGGTATTGGTTAGGAGGCTTCAGCTACACAACTCCATCCAAACCTAATCTGAGTACCCCCCCCCCCCCCGAGAACTTGATAAATCTGAAATTCTTAATGAATGCCTCACTTCAGTTGACAACATTGATTTTAAGTTTAAAGTAAAAAATATTTTGTTCCCAATTTTTCTCTGATTTGTTCTCTGTCTTTTATTTCTTTTGTATTTTAGAAATGTTATTTATTACAAGATTTATTATTTGTATTATTGATTGGGATAATTGCCCTCTGTGTGTTGAACATAGCAAAGGGCTAGTTCCACCTCTTTCCTTTCCTTCTCATTCTTAGATTTTGAGTAAGTTTGTGAAAATATTTTGGATCTAATTATTATCCATCCAGACTGCTCATTTCAGGACATCATATTTGTATTTCACTCAGCCATCACAAAACTCTGGCTTGAATCATATCTGATATTATTGCATGGTGAGTGATATATGTTAAATGTTTTTAGGAATCATCTATCAATCAGTGATACTTTCTTGACTAGCAATATATGAATTACTGGACATGTCTTGACAACGACATGTGAAACTTCCGCATACATTGCCGGACATGCTCATATAAACACACCTACACAAAAAATGTTTGCCAAAGAAAATACATGTACATGGCTACATGTACATGTATGTGCTAAAGAAAACAAACAATATCTTATTTCAATAAGGTTAAATAAAATGTATTTAAAGCAATGTTATTATTGCATTTCTTAAGAAAAAATTAGATTATAATAAAGTGATATCTTTATGTACAGTACATTTACATGTACATGTACATGTTTTTCCCTCCCCCCCCCCCTCAGAATGTGAAATGATACTTTGATCATCTATGCTTTAAAGCTGGGTTAAGTTGATTATAGGCTCAACAAGCTGAGACAGCTCACCACACTAGTCATCAAACACATGAACATGGATGTGTAATAAAACCATTATGTGATTCTTTACAATTTTGATATATTTGGATGCCCCTGTAGATGTATTATAAGCACAAGAAAAATTAGCCCCTAAAACACTTCTCCTTTCGAGAAAAATTGAATATAAAAATTTATCGGTGCTCCCGGTAAATTTTGATAAATTTCAAATAGCGCCTACGGCCGTACAATGGTAGCTGTGACCATGACAATTGCAGAATATGTAGTTGTGAAATATAATTTCCAAACGGCAATAGCTAATTGGTCGATTTTAGTCGAGAACCATCGTTTTATAGCTTAATTAATATCTTGACCTTGAGAGGGAGCTATATAACATAAAGAGTTTATTACTTACAATTTCATAACTTTAGACTGGATTTCAACCGCAACAACAATCCCTGAATAGAGTAGGATCGCATATGCGACCAATATGTTCATTTGAACCAAATTCATGACCCCAACCTAAAACTTTGTATTACCTTTAATATACATACGTTTAGTAAAACAATTGCCAATGTTTGGAAATAAAATTAATACCAACACCGTTTTTATGAACTTTTAATGATGTACAACATGTAGAGCATCTGTGTAGATAAAACTAGATACATTGTAGGTTATCCTTCGGGCATCAATTATTTATCAATTTCATTACCTACCGGTATATGGAACTTCAGTAGAAGATATACATGTCATAGGAGAGTTGTTTAAGCACTTGACTTGAAATGCAAAGGTTGTGGGTTCGATCCCTGACATGGCACTGATGTCCTTTGGCAAGGCATTAATCTACATTTTCCACTCTATACATGTACCTGCCCAGGAGAGAAGGGGACCTGGCAGGATGACGAAAGCTTTTGCGTTAGTAATTGTCATATGCCCTCATGGTGGCCATATGGTAGGAATGCTCCCCAGGGAGTGGGGATGGTGCACATTGTGCATGAATGGATCCGATGACCAGGGTAAAAATATCTGTAAAGCGCTTAGAGAGGGTATTTTGTGTTTTAAGCGCTATATAATTTTTGTTGTTGTACTTAGCGAGGCGGGAAGATTCCCGGGAATTCGCTGTAATATTTTAGTAAATTTAAATTTGCTCATGGTATATATTGATCATGCATGCAATGCTGCTCAATATTAAATATTGCTCAATGCACACCATGACCCAAATCTGTTAATAACGTACAGCTCTTGTACACATATATTTTAGTTCGCAGTGTGACTGAGGTATTACATTAATAGTGCAAGAGGATTGTTGTGAGTTTGCAGGTTTCTTAAGACACAGTGTAGGCCTACATATTCTTTAAATCATTAAATAAATATGTATGGTTCCAGAATACAGAATGTCCGTCCTTGCAGACTAGATTAGATTACTGATACCATTGCAATATTGAAGAATAGTTGGGTAATAGGAGAGAACAGAAGTTTCCTTTTCCTAGTTTCTGTTTTGGAAGAGGAAAGTTCTCAGTTCTGAAACGTTGGAAAGTTTAACTTTTAAGTTTTAATGTCAATGCCCCCAGAGTCCAGAATAATCAGTTTTTGGTTACATTTTGCAAAATTTATAGCTAATTTGTGTGTAGTTTACATCACCCTTAACAAAGCATAATATAATGTGATACCAATGAGAGAGTTCTTGTCCTTGGCCTTAGTCATTCAGAGCATGTTCCACTATTACAAGTTCCATGACCATGATACATTTAGGCCTAATGCCAAAAGTTTGTATGTTGTCTGAAATAAACCTGGGATCATTTCACAACTTTAATTAACTAAATCCACATATCATCAAAGAGATGTGCTGTTCAGCCTCGGGTGCCGGTCATAATTAATTTTGTGCCAGAACTAGACTTGCGTAACTTTTGGACAAAGCTGTTTGTAAAGGTATTGTTTAGATACAGTTCATGACATGTCAGGTATTTTGATGTTGACAAACCTCCCTCTGGAAATCCTACATGTACCATGTGACATTGTAGCATGTACGATATATACCTCGCATATCGGAGGTGTTTGAGCAATGACCCATGGTCTATTATTAGCTAGGCTTGAGGGATCCCGAGATGAAATCTACTCTCGGTGTATGCCTGGTATGATGAATGTTTTAGCCTCCAGACAAACTTAATTCCATGTGACTATGCTTTCAGATTACGTTTCATTATAACGATCTAGACCACTTGCACCGAAAGGCACCTCTGTGGCCCCTGTCCACATGTATTTTTTAATGCAGAGGTCATAATATTCTAGTTCAGGCCTGCATGTGGGCTCCTTTAGAATTTTATAGAAAACTGAACTAGGAAACCTTAAAGTGAAATCCAACCTTGAAAGCAGAAATATCGGAGAAGTAGATTGGTGAATGTATGAATCGGGACAAAAAAAAGGGACCTGGTAATGAGGATTAATGCCTTACCGAATGACCTCCCTTGTATGACCAATCTGCCAATTTGAGATTTGTGCATACTTTGTGATCTCATATTTTCAACATTCATTACTCTCTTATTATTGGTCCAATTTATTTCAGACTTTCGCCATTCTCTTTCTCTT